GGGCGCAGGCTCAGTCTCACACAAAATCCCTGCTAATGTTTGAAACGTGTCCAATATGCCTCTGTTCACGCGCCGTCCTCACAAATCCAGTTTGGCTTTAAATGCAGCTACTTTATCTGCCAACTTAAAGATATATGATTCTTGTGTGGCCCGGTACTGATTGATCCACGGACCGCTACCGGTCCATGGCCCGGGGGTTGGGGACCACTGCCCTAGACGATCTTAATCCAGCATTTCTACGATTCTGCCAATCATATATTTAAGTTCAGGAGAGCATCAAAGGCAGCCGCACAACTTTTCACATTGTTTTACATGTTGTTCAGCAACGTGGACACCAATGGTGTTGAAATGGTGAAAAATGTCACATACTGTATTTATAAGGTGTATAATTCACCCAAAAATGCCATTTCTATATTAATGTAATGCTGTATTCACGGCTGCAAAATCACATGTGACGTGAGCTGACCCTTAGGGCTGTGCAATTAATCGAAAATCCGATTTCGATTTTGGCTTCTGACGATTATGAAAAACCATTAATCAAGATAAACGATTATTCCATTATTTACCGCATGCTCGTGTGTGTGTGTGTGTGTGTGTGTAAGTGTGTGTGTGTGTGTGTGTGTGTGTGTGTGTGTGTGTGTGTGTGTGTGTGTGTGTATGTGTGTGTGTGTGTGCACACAGTCAGAAGCATGCGGTCAGAATTCGGTTTCATTCACACACTGCGACGAGCAGAGCATCTAAAGTCATCTTAATGCGAGCGCTTTAATGGTCAAATAGGTGTTAAAACGCGGCGTTTAGTTATTATTCATATTAAGCCTCATTTTTGTAATAAACAAACGAGTTGAGGATCAAAAGAAACGTGAAAGAGAAACCATTAAAGTGACAGCGCGCTATTCCTGCTGCCGCCTGTTTTTATCATTATTAATCAAATACCAAAAGGAGAAGATCCCTTACTGCTCTCGACTTAAGGACTTTTTTAGCTAAAGTGTTTTTCTTAGGGTGAAGATGCTTAAATCACAGTATGTTTCATATTTTTATTCTATTGTATTTATTTCTCTTTCCTTTGCAGGGAGGAAAATAACTGTATACAGTTGAAGTCAGAATTATTAGCCCTCCTGAATATTAGCAACCCTTTTCCCACAATTTCTGTTTAATGGAAAGAAGGTTTTTTAAACAAATTTCTAAACATAACAGTTTTAAAAACTCATTTCTAATTACTGATTTCTTTTATCTTTGCTATGATGACAGCACATAATATTTGACTAGATGTTTTTCAAAATACAAGCATTAAAATTCAAAGTGTGATTCAAAGGCTTAATTAGGCAAGTCATGTATAACAGTAGTTTCTTCTGCAGACAATAAAAAATATATGTTGCCTAAAGGGGCTAATAATATTTACCTTAAAATAGGTTTCAAAATATTTAAACCTGCTTTTATTCTAGCCGAAATAAAACAAATAAGCCTTTCTCCAGAAGAAAAAATATTATAGGAAATACTGTTAAAATTTCTTTCTCTGTTAAACATCATTTGAGAAATATTTATTTTAAAAAAATTCTCAGGAGCGCAAATAAATTTGACTTCAACAGTAATCGTTTTGAACAATCGTGATTACAATTATAACCAAATTAAGATTTTTCCCAAAATCGAGCAGCCCCACTGACCCTGACCTTTTACCAAAGAGAGGGCGGGTGCGCGCATGTGAATGAATTCTACTTTAGTAATCAGAACCTGCATAGGCTTTGAATAACAGGTAACACATTTGTAAACAACATTCAGTTTGTGAAACAGGGTGATTGTTTGGGAGCCCCATGGGAAAGATGAACCGCACTTAGCAGTGAAAATGAAACCGAAAGCTCACACATCATCGCATTATAGAGTTATGATTGAGCCAAGCATTTGATATGCTTTTTCTTTCTTAGCGCACACAGAGTGTTTTGCATGTGAATAAATGTTTAACAGTGTCAGTATAACTACTCAGGCATGGGCTGGTATAAGATTCTGACATTATGGTAACCTTGGATTAAAATATCACGGTTTCATGGCATCATGGTATTGTGCACACTGCATATAATCTTTTTAAATGTCTGAGTAAAAAACTAAAACTTTTTTCCCCTTTCAAAACAATATTTTTTGAAAGATTTAAGATATTAAAGTGTAAAAAAGCATAACAGCTCCCCTGCTTTAAAGTCACTTGAGGCCCCCTAAACCAATTTGGCAGATTATAAAAAATGTTGATTCAGTAAGTTACAATCAAGCCTGGTAGATTCCCTATTGCTGACCCGTTTCCTTATAATCAGCGCTTTAATAATAAAATGAGGTGGTATACGACTGTTAAAAAGGCTTTTCATTTTAGCCACGCTTCTATGATCAGTCTAAAAATAGTCGCAGTCTATTAATAGCAGTGTGTGAAATGTGGGAGATCAGAACTGAAGCTGAATTATAAATCCGTCCCATTTGGTCTGGCTCATCTGTTCCTTCAAAAAGTGCCAGATCCAAAACAGGAAATGACTCGGCACCAGCTTGTAATCTTTCAACTAAACAGACATTTCCTGCTCAACTTGTTTTTTGACTTTTTTTATCATCTATTTAAGCTAAGACTCTCAGTCCCTCTCTCTCTCCTTCATCTTTCACTTTTGCTCCTTTTTGACAGGAATCTTGGAACCGCTCAAAATGTGATTAGTTTCTCATGCTGGTTATTTGTTGTTCTTGTCTTCACATGGCCTTCATCTCTTTTTTGATTTTCCACTAATTTCTGGAAGAAATTTTCCCTCTAATTTTTGTTCTCGCTAAGCATGCATATATTCCTGTTGGACAGCTTTTTGGGCCTTCTTGAAAACAAGTTAATTTCTTTTTTAGGTTACTGCACTCTCAGAAGAAAAGGTACAAAATTGTACATTTAAGGGTACAAGTGGCCTGTCACTGTGGTGCCACCCTAAAAGGTACAATTCCGTACCTCTATTTAGAGGTTAAATGTCTACTTTCTATCTGAAAATTTTCCCAATATTGATGACAGATGTGACAGATGTCATGCACCACAGTGTAATTTAAGTCATTTTTTTTTTTTATGTGCTCTATGTTACAGAATTACTGGATTAATTATTTTACAATTATGTTTACAACTAAAATCTATTAGTTTCTCAAAATAGCAACGCGCCAGCAATGCGCCTCAGAACGCCTTAGACCAGAACGCCTATGGGCGCACATACAAGCGCAAATGCATTTGCTATTTAAACAGCGTGGCGCAAAACATCAAAACGACTCTTGCGCTAAGCTGAAACTAGCAAACAACAATTGCGTCGCGCCTTGCGCCACATTGCGCCGGGTATATGATAGGGTCCCATTATGTTTTTGCTTTTGGTAAACTTGACATGTAAAGCACTCATAATTGAAAAATGTTATTTGATAGTCATAAGGACAAGTTATTTAAAATTGTGCTACATGCATTGTTATGTATTTGTGTTATTTGTGCTCTGTTTCTCTGTGTTTTTTTTTTTCTCTCTCTCTCTCGCTCTCGCTCTGTTCTCTCATATCTACTTTCATGTATTCTAAGGTTTCGTTCATTAGTCCATTCAGCTGTCAGTCATTCCTCCCCGGTTACGTCACTCTTACGTCACACCCAATAAGCAAAGACCACCCATGTTAAAAGCACGCGCCAGACCACTCGCTAGTCCCTTGCTTGCATTTTTCTCTTTCTGTTTTTTCGGCTTGTTTTGCATTCATCGCTTGCGTTTAGAAATAACCCGTCTAACCGTGTATTTTGTTGTTGCCCATTTCTGTGTGCACATTATCTGTCCGTTATTCGTACATCATTCTTAGTTTACGTTGTTTACGAGGCTTGGACGTAGCGGACGGGTAAGAAGGTCACGTGACATACATTGCAACACATAGGACTACTCTGCTGTTTAGTACACTAGGTTAGGGGCGAGCGCCACTCCTTGTACTTTTTGGACAGCTAGATAGAGTAGACAGTCAGGACTCGGAAGATCTCCGCGTGTTAATTATACTGTTTTCACATAGTTAGTTAGCTAGACGCTTCTGGGAAATTAGATTTAGTTTGGATTTTGTTCTTTTCATTTCTTTAGCGCCGCCCGCGTCCCTTCTGCCAGCTCTCTTGTTTTTTCCCGTCTTTATTTGTCTCAGTGTTGTAAATATAGTAAATAGTATATTTTTGCCTTAATTACTTTCTTTATTTTTGATTAATTTATTGTTGTTGTTCACTTTTGGGAATTGTAAATAAAAGCACACATTTTTGGCATTACTTTGGTTGTCTTTTGTACTCATTCACTGTTTATATAAATATATTGTAATTAATCAAATGTCAAACCCCACAACCCCCAAGACTAACATCAGGGGTTTGTAACATGCATGAATGAGAGCTGTGTGCTGGATTAACTTAATGATTTTGAGTGTTATCCAACAGCATGTTGGTAAACAAAAAAGAGGTTGATTACTCTGGTAAATTGTCACTGGTAGAGGCTCTGTTCCATCAACTCTGAAGACTGCCGTGACTCGTCTTGTTAACACAGTTGTCCAGTCTGTGGCCTCCTCCTTGAACTGGATGTGGTGGAGATGGTTCACCGTAAATGACAAAGCTGATGATTAATCATTTTTTATTGGCATATATAACATTAAGCAATACAAATAACTACTGTTATTATTCTTGCAATTGGGATTTCATGCACATTTAAGCTAACGACAGTCTGTTTTGGGTTGAACCCATGGCATGCTCTCAGATTAAGAAGGAAAATTATCTAGAAGGTACTTTGAGTGTCAATGCGACTAGACAGTGCTTTTCAATATACTACATTCAGTCAACACCCAAGGCATGTTGGCTCATGCTGTTCAGTTCTGAAGTGTGAGAAGTTTTACATCATGTGTCTTTCAAAAACAGTATCTTTTGTTTGACGGAAGACGGCTCTCAAGCCTTTTAAAGTGATTGAGTCTGCAGATTGTTTTGGTGTAATTCATGTCTGAGTCCATCCCTCTTTTCTTATCTTCAGGTGACCCGTCCCCCATTGTAGTGTCCCGCTTGAGCCGAGGACAAGGACATGGAGGAGGTTGAATCGCCCCCTGCCAGATTCAAGAGGAAGGCCTGGGCTCAGAGCCGAGACTCCTGGCAGGCGTCTGAGTCTCAGGACCAGGGCGCAAAAGAGCCGCTGTCTGCCCAGCAGCCTATGGAGGAGAAGACTTCCACAGCCTCAGAAGCAGGTACAGTGCTTTTGTTATTGGAGAAATTCTTTTATTTTTATCAAGTTCGTTTGATTTGTTTGGAAAAGTGTGCAATGCTGGAGTAGCCATTGAGATTTTTACAAGTTTGTTTGGCTCTGTGTTACATTTCTCAATATATAATACTTGATATAGTAGGCTATATATTAAAAAATGTGTAATTTAGAATAAAAGACTTTGACAGCATCAGAAACAGCTATAGTGTTTTGATTAAATGAGAAATGCTTCAAATTTTGTTTTGGTTTTGCTTGGAAAAGGTAAAATGCTGGAGTAATGGTTAAGATTTTTCTTAATGGTTCTATACTACATTTACGGCATATAATATTTTGTTTGACATTTTATTTGGGGGATAAACCAATTTATTAAACTTCGACAGCCTCAGAAACGGCTACAGTGCTTCGGTTAATAAAAAAAAATTCATATTTGTTCAAGTTTGTTACATTTTCTCAGAAAATGGTACCAGGGTTTATCCAAGGTTTTTTGGTCTTATATCTTCACCCTGGGCGTGTTGTTTGGCGATTGGTGTAGTAAAAATATATATATATAGTTGCAAGTGTTATTTTTGATTGTGTATTCCTGTTTTGTGGGTGTGTAAATTTAGACTTTTGTTTGTTGTTGTTGTTTGTTGTCCCCTAGGGTCCGGCTAGGGTCGTAACAACTACATGTACAACTACATGCATACAGTATAATACTTAAATTGATCATTCAGAAATGTGTAATTTAGAATATACGACTTTGAGAGCCTCAGAAACAGCTACAGTGCTTTAGTTATTGGGAAAATGCTTCCAACTTTTTCCAAGTTTGTTCAGAATGTTGAGTTTGGATTGTAATTAACTAGAAAACACAGGTTAGAACAAATCAAGATTTGTTTAAGGTCTGTGATTTTTGTACAATTTCAAGCAAATTTGACCCATTTGGCCACTATAAGTTATAACATTTCTAAACCAACAGTTAATAAAGATAAATTGTATTGAATTATTTTTGTAATGAAGATAATACTATAATATAGTACTCAACATTTGAGGCAGATAAAAAAAAATGTTCAAAATTGTCTTTAGGCAAGAATGGATGTTTTTGACTAGTTTTAGGACAACTTTGATGAAAATTATTTTTTTTTTTTGGTACCTCAATAGACTCTCCAGAAAGCCACAAAGAGCTGTTTATTTAATTTGTGTCTTTGTTCTATTTAATTAGTTAATATGCTTAATTTGTTTAATATTTTACAAAATCATCGCATTATATAATATTATAATTAATTTTTTTTCCATAAAAAATAGAGTTGTCATCACATTAATATTTCAAAATATAAGAAATTATATTCATTTTGCAATATATATCTGAGAGAAACAACAAACAAAATACATATATTTTTTTAGTTTGTCTGGTTTAATCGGAAAAAGGTACAATGTTGTTGAGTTATGGTTGAGATTTTTCCTAGTTTCTTTGGTTCTATACTACATTTACTGTATATCTTATTTGAGTTTAATTTTCTGACTTATTTTATTTGGAGAATAATCCAAAGTATGAGACTTCGACAGCCTCAGAAACAGCCACAATTCTTCGGTTAATCGAGAAATGCTTGTTTGTTATTTGTTTTTTTTGCTCAGGAAAAAGGTACAATGTTGAAGTAGTGGTTGAGTTTTTCCTTGTTTGTTTGGTTCTATTCATTTGGGTTGAATGTTCTGAAATATTTCATTTGGAGGATAAGACTTTAACAATCCAGCTTTTGGGGAAATGCTTTTTTTCCAAGTTTGTTTGGTTCTATACTAGGTTTACTGTATATACTAATTGGGTTGAGTTTTCTGACTACATATATTGTGCTAGGGTTGAATCTTTGGAAATGTTTAATTTGGAGTGACAATGCTTGAGTAACGGTTGATGTTTTTGTTTGCTTCTTTGGTCGCTGATGCTATACTACTGTATATAACAGTTATTGTATATTACTAGGGTTGATTTTTTTTTTTTTCTCTCTCTCATAAATGTGTTATTTGGAGGATAAGGAGGGCTTTGCAAGTAAACGTCTTAATACTACAGAAATCGAATAACTTAAATTTAGGTGGACTGAACATAAAACATTTCGGTTGTCCCGATAAAACTCAAGAATTGTGTTGTTTCAGCTTATTTTAAATAAGTAGTTTAAACAAGTACTGTATTATAATACTGGGATTGGATTTACTGAAATTTGTTATTTCAGTCAAGTGGCCATTATAGTGAACTATTGCAAATGTGGTGTGGATTTAAAATATGCAATACAAGTTAAATTGATTTATCAATAAGTAATATTATTAGTGCTGTCAATCAATGAAAAAAAATGTAACTAATTAATCGCACTTAAAAAAAAATTTTTAATCCCGATTAATCGCATTTAAAAGACTGAAACTTGTAATTTTGGCTATTCGAGTGTAAATTATTGTAAACGCAAGACAAATACTGTTTAAATTAAAAAAATAACTCATTATTAGAATTTTTGTTTAACTTGTAACACAGTTTTCTTCATGTAAACAACATACCCACAATAATCCATCAAGATCCTGGCTTGACAGCCATATTTATTACAGAAATAAAAACACAGGCATGTTAATGACATTTGAATTTCAAAACAATCAATGCCAATAAAGAAAAAAAAGATTTCCATGTTGGATTCTATGTGGACTGCAAAAAACTGCCAAAATACAAGTATTACAGATATGGAAAATTATAACGATAATAATAAAGTATTGAAAATCTGTGTTTCTGCCCGAACTACAAAACTAAATGTAAAAAAAAGTTGCTTAAGTTGCACACTAGTTTGGTCATGTATAAATATCATTATATTAACCATATTGTATAAATATTATTGTCGCTATAAGCCTACATCATGCTGACGATCAAAAACACTATGTCATGATATCTCATGCGCTTGCTTTCTGACCGAGTGCATCCTAAAATACATGACTGACACCCCTCATAGAGCGTGAGAAGCAGATATTCTTTATAATTTGCAAAATAAAGACTTGCAGGTTAAGGAAACAGCAGGAGGAAGTTGCCGCGGGCCGTGGTGCAGATTTAAAGTAAAAAAAAAAAAAATTTTTATATGGACAGATAAGTAACTAGATAGAATAGTCAGGAATATATTGATCTGTGCCTCGCTGCAGAATGCAGACGCAAAAGCCTGCTCTCCCGCGGCGTGGACCTGCGCGTAAGAAACAGGCGGGACTCTCGGCTAATTTTACAAATACACACCTACATTACACAGAGCCCTACATGGAAGTTTGTGATTGGGTCAGCCCAATGTCAATAAAAAAAAGAACCAATGGGCTGCGGATTATGTCACACGGCTGTTCTGTCCGGAAAAGAAACATCTTACTTTCAGAGCGTGACGGCTCACAGCACCGTCAATCACTGAGGCAGAAAAACATGACAGTCTGCTGAGTGTTTTATGGGCCGATCAGATCATAAGAAGATGATCAGCCCAGCCTAAAAAGTACGTCGAAACAGCGGGAAACTGCCCGGCGTCTGCCCCTGGCCACAACAGGGAAAAAAAATAAATAAATGCGTTAATTGCGTAAATTTTTTTAACGTGTTAATTATTTCAAATTAATCGCATGCGTTAACGCGTTAATTTTGACAGCACTAATTATTATTATTATTAATATTGTATTATTATTAAGAATTAATAATATTAATAAATAAGTAGTTTTATTTAAATGTAACTATGCAAAGGAGTACAAAACAACTTACCATAATAAATTGTTACAGAAATGTTTTAAAACTTGAAAAATACAAAACAAAGACCTGCAAACAGTAGTGAATTTTGAATAATGATTTTAGTATTGGCATTAGATTTAATCAGCATCATCATCAGCATTAATCTGCTTACTTCTAAACTTTGACTAAATTCAATAAACACCTAAGCTCATATTGTCGTCAAGCTTGTACCGCAAGTCCACTATGTAGCCTGAAACCTAATATTTTAACACATTGTTTGCTCGATACAGATCATTTTGCTTCTTTTAAACATCACAGAGCTACTTTTATCACACTTTTCCATCAATTAAGCCTACAGATAACAGTCTGCATTTTGTAAATGTCAACTTATATTGGGCTATAAAGATTTGGCGATATTGAGAATTACCGTAAACATTGTTGTAAACAGACACATAGAAATAAATGCATGTTTAAGGCTGATCTTCAGTTTCATGAAAGAATGCCAAACCATAAATGTTTATACTCTACACTGTAAATTAAGCAGGCCTTCACACAGTTTAGTGATGTTGTCCCAACACAAATCAATTAAGTTAACAAATTTAAGTGGATTGAGCATAAAACAATTAAGATGTCCCAAAAACAAATCTAAAGCATTGACCTGCTTTAGCTTGTTTTAAATAAGCTGCCTGATTTAAATCACTTTTCGAGTGTATATCTGGGTTCAGTGGTGCTTTGGGGGTTAGGAGCTCTGCTGGAAGGTCAATGGGAAGTGGTAATAAACGCTGCCGGCTTTAACACAATTTGTTTGTTGTCCAAAAACAAATCCATTAAGTTAACTTAACATTTTTAAGCAGATTAAACCTAAAACAATTAAGTTGTCCCAAAAAATCTCAAGAATTGTGTTGTTTCAGCTTGTTTTAATGAAAGCAGTCTGCATAAATTTTTAAGTGTATATGTGGGTTCGAAGGTGTTTTTGAGGGTTAAGAGCTCTGCTGGAAGGTCAAAGGGAAGTGTTAACAACTGCAGTATAGGCTTTCACACAATTCCTTCATGTTGTCCCAACACAAATCAATTAAGTTTACAAATTTAAATTGATCAAACATAAAAGGATTAAGTTGTCCCAAAAAATGTCTCAATAATTGTGTTGTTTCGGATTGTTGTTAATAAGCAGCTGGAATACAATAATGTTTTTTTTTTTTTAAGTATATCGGGTTTGCAGGTGTTTTGAGGGGTAGGAGCTTTGTTGGAAAGTCAATAGGGAAGTGGTTATAAATGCAGAAGGCCTTCACACAATTTCTTCATGTCGTCCCAAAGCAAATCAATCAAGTTAACTTAACATTTTAAGCAGATTAAACATAAAACAATTAAGTTGTCCCAAAAAAATATAAAAAATTGTGTTGTTCCAGCTTGTTTTTAAATAAGTAGCCTGAATAAAATCATTTGTTGGGTGTATATGTGGGTTCAGGGGTGTTGAGGGTTAAGAGCTCTGCTGGATAGTCAATGGGAAGTGTTAATAAACGCACAGGGTTTCACACAATTTCTTCATGTCGTCCCAAAACAAATCAATCAAGTTAACTTAACATTTTAAGCAGATTAAACATAAAACAATTAAGTTGTCCCAAAAAAATCTCATGAATTGTGTTTCATCTCGTTTTAAATAAGTAGCCTGAATACAATCATTTTTTGAGTGTAAATGTGGGTTCTGAGGTGTTTTGGGGGTTAAGAGCTCTGCTGGAAGGTCAACGGGAAGTGGTAATAAACGCAGCAGGGAGAGATTACAGAGGTTTGGCTGCTTGACTTGGCATTTGATTCTCTATGCAAGTCATGATAAACCAATTAAGTACAAATAAAGGTTTCTGGAAAAAGAAAGACTCCCAGACCACAGCAGTAGTTCAGAGAAAAACACTCTCTGTTCATCATCGCAGCTCTTCTTTTTCTTGTTCACCGTTTGTTTATTGTAGCTTTTAGGCAAATGAAGTTGTTTATTTCACGGTACGCTTACTAGTATTTTGCTTTCTTTTTTTCTCCTCAGGTCGTAATCCAAATCAAGTGGAGAACTGGCTCAGGACCTGCAGGTGAGTTACCTGACAAACCTCATAAAGCACAAATGCAAATGTGTGAGAAAAAAAACTGTTTACAGGCCACGCTGTGTGACGTGAGTTGGTAAGTAAACAAATGCGTTCAGGGCAGAGAAAAGCACTCTGTCCGTGTCTTTGGCATCTCTGACAAGCAGTAAATTTGAGAGAATGGTGTGAATAGTTCATTGGGTTCAGACCGTGATCTTCCCAGAGTCAGGAAAGTCGTTTGTTGTGAAGACTGACTATTGTCCTTTGTGCTGCTGTTTTTTTATTTTTTTTGGTTAGCTTGTTTGGGTCCACTGGGGCCTATTAATGCTGAAGTTGTCCTCTGAGAGTTTTTAGGTATTCTCTTTTTACTGCCAGGCTGCTGGTTTTTTTTTTTTTGTCTGTGTGCGTGTGTGTGCGTGTGTGTGCGTGTGTGTGCGTGTGTGTGCGTGTGCGTGCGTGTGCGTGCGTGTGCGTGTGTGTGCGTGTGTGTGCGTGCGTGTGCGTGCGTGTGCGTGCGTGTGTGTGCGTGTGTGTGCGTGTGTGTGCGTGTGCGTGCGTGTGTGTGTGTGTGTGTGTGTGTGTGTGTGTGTGTGTCATGTGCTATAGAGGAAAAGCTCATTAGCTATGTTTCTATAAAATAAATCCAAAAATCGTCACTTCCTGATTAACTGGCATCAAATATCAACAGTAAAACTGAATTTACTGCGGTAGGAGAAGCTGCGTGAATCTTTTCTTTATTTAATAAATGACTTGCGCTTCAGAAGACAATGCTACGTAAGAATGTGTGGTGGCGTTTGAAGGCGTGAGAGGCAGAGCACAGATGCTCTAGACCAGGGATGTCCAAACTTTTTGGGCCGAGGGCCAGAAGCAAAAAAAACGGCTGTCAATTGGATCATTTGTTCGTCTTCCACCAGCCTAAAACATCTATTCCATTTCCATGATTTCCCACTTTGCAAATTTGCTCTTTGACTTCTCTGTCATCATTTGTTTCATCTTTGCAGGGATGGGTTAGGAAACGATTTGATTACTTTTTCGTGATCATTAATTTCATTTTTGAATTTTACCGCGTTATAAAAAAGCATAAACACTTATTTAATGTCACAGAACTTCTTTTTACCTGCAGTTTTAAAAAAATCAGTTGTAAAATAAAGCTCTGTTTGCACGATTTGATTAATTTTTTCGTATCCAATTACTTTATAAATAATTTTTTTTAATAATAAAATTATAATCTCTGTTGTCTATTGTTTTTAGAAAATATCTAAAATCTTTTTTTTTTTTGTTATTCTGTATATACCTAAATTATTATAGCTTTCGTTTGTTTGTTTTTTTGGTTTATTTAATGTTTTCATTAAATTCAAAATACATGCATCTAAACATGACAACTGAGTCAATGGAAAAGTGGTTGTTCCTTGCACCACCTAGTGGTCTATTGCGTAAAGCACAGAATTTTTTTTTCTATGAAAACGCGACCAGTTCTGCGGGTGACTGTGCGTGACAAATTGCAGTGCTGCGCGTGAAGAAACGCGCTTTCTCAGTACACTGAAAAAAATGTCTGCAAAATTGTTGCAAACTATTTATTTGTGTTGAATTTAAACAAACAAATGAAATGTAGTAATGTTCAACTAAAGTTATTTGTTTAAATTCAACATAAACAAATTTTCACAACCTCTTAACTAAAACAAAAATTAAGTAAATTCCTGGAATCATCTTTGAATAATTTTTCTCAGTGTAGCCATATCTGTATATTGACTTTCAAAGAACTTTTGTTTAATGTATGTATGTGCAGCCAAACCTTTGTGCTCGGCGTTTCATCAGGGACATTTAGGATAAATCCAAACTCTTGTAAAACTCGTACAGTGAAAGAAGCTGGTGGCGACTGCGAAGAGAATCATCACAGTGCAATTCAGTGAGCTTTAGTTGCATGTTCTCTTGCACTTCTACGTTAACAGAGTAAGGGGTTAAGAAACAGCTTAATGTCATTATCCATAGTGGAAAAATCGTAGTTTGGACACCCCAGCTCTGGACAGTTCTGTAGGTAATTAATAAAGGCTATAATAACACTAATACTGAAATGGTTATGGCATTTTAGAATGACCAAAACAACATGTTGGATGTTTTACAATGTGCTCAGCCTGCTGGTTTGTCCATTCACACACATTCTTATCATCGCATGATCTCTTTTTTTTAATGTGCATTTTTTAAATTTTTGCACAGCTTGGTGTTTCCATTAAACATTTTTTTATGTTCATATCCAAAGTGCTCATAAAAATAGGTGGATGGAAACGTAGCTATTGATTTACTTGTTAGATATATGTCCCTCTTGGCCAACTTAAACCGTCCATGTGGAAAAACAAAAGGCAGATTCCAGGATTGCTGCTGCGTGTCTCTGTCTGTCGTTTTTTCATTTTGTGATCTAAAAGGAAGCCTAGTATGTTTGTTTATCTGTCTTTTTTAAGGTAATTTGGCCTGATGTCAGTTACTCTGTTTTCATGGATTGTGTGTGTGTGTGTGTGTGTGTGTGTGTGTGTGTGTGTGTGTGTGTGTGTGTGTGTGTGTGTGTGTGTGTGTGTGTGTGTGTGTGTGTGTGTGTGTGTGTGTGTGTGTGTGTGTGTGTGTGTGTGGAAAATGTGATAACTGTTTGTTGTTGGTTGTCATATTATTTAATTGCTGTGTGGATCTTTGGGTTTTAAACTCTGGAATTAACCCAGATGTTGTTTTTAGTACTGGGTTGCAGCTGGAGGGGTATCCGCAGTGTAAAACATATGCTGGATAAGTTGGTGGTTCATTCCGCTGTGGTGTGACCCCTGATAAATAAAGGGACTAAGCTGAAGGACAAATCTCATTTTTGAATTATGAGATACTTTTTGGGAAACCTATGAATTAAGAGATACTTTTTGGGAAACCTATGAAATGTTATTTTTCTCAATTTTTGCAATATTATTATTATTAATCCATATTATTATTATTATTATTATAACATTAATAATATTAATTATAAATGTTATTAATATTATTGTTATTAACAACAATTAATAATAATTATAATAATAATAATTATTATTATTATTATTATACTAATAATAATATGATTATTATGATGATAATTATTATTATTATTACAATTAATAATAATTAATAATAAAAAAAATAATAATAATAACAGAAACAACAACAGCAACGTTAATAATATATTATTATTATTATTATTATTATTTATTTATTTATTTATTTTTATTATAATTAATATAATAGAAATAGTAACATAATGATAATACTGTTTTTATTATTAATAATATCAACTAATGATATTAATTGTTGTTGTTATTAATTCACATTATAATACTAATATTAATAAATATTATTATTATTTTTGGATTGTTGTTGTTATTATTATTATTATTATTGTTATTATTATTATTATTATTATTATTATTGTAACAGTATGAAAGCATTGTAAAACTATAAAAGCACTACAGTCACTTTTGTCACCGTTTTATTGCATTGATTCTGGTATAGTGAAAGTAAAAGTTCCTTCATACAATATTAATAACCACAAACATTTGAGTGGAATATATATATCTATTATAAAAACCAGCAAAATAACATCTCTGAGATGAGCAGAGTAATCAATGACAAACTTTTATTACGCTCGATTTGTTCCTCCAGAGTTGATTTAATCAAATTCTTCAGTGTAAATTCCCCCAGTAAACCCGTCTGACACCAAAGCGACGTTATTTGAACGTCAACGCCACACACTGGGTCAATAAAAACACCTCGTGCTCGTCCTATTCCCAATTCCTGCTCATTATCATTAAACACACACACACACACACAGAGACACACACACAGACACACAGATAACCCCGACATCCTCCAGCAGGAAACCTCAGTGTCTGAACCACCAGAGTTTGCTGGATTTCCTTCTGGTGGTGTTGTGAAACATGCCGGACTATTATTAGCTTTATTTTACGTGGGTTTTTTTCGCCTCGCTGTTTGGATCTGCAGGTGTCTTGATGAAAGTGGCAGGGGATTTGGAAGGTAGTGTTTTGTAAGTGTCAAGACGAAGGCTTGTTATGCCAAGAGAATTTGTGTCGACTGTTGTGTATGAAGAGAGGGAAGGGTGTTCGTGTGTGTGTGTCTGTGTGTGTGTGTGTGTGTATATATATGCGTTTCTGCTCAAGTGACATTTTTAGAGGGAGTTTTGGCGAGTTGAATGAGGATGTGACGTGTTTTTGATCTTTCAACAGGACTCCTCTCGGGGCCTCTTTGGATGACCAGAGCAGCAGTCCGTCCAGAGGTGAGTCTCCACTCAAAAACAAAGACATTTGGTTCAGGATCACCCATATGAATAAAGGCTTTTTTTTTTAAAAATTCACATTTTAGAGTGCATTGGACTGATTTTTATTTTTTGTTTTGATGAATCCTTTACCCAAAGAGCACTGACAAAATATTTGAGCTACCCCTGAGTAATTTTTGTTTGTTTTTGGACAATGACATTTGTTTAATCTACTTATTTGAAATGAGCTGAAACAATTCTTGAGGTTTTTGGGTAAACTTAATTGTTTTATGTCCAATCCACTGAAATTTGTGAAAACTAATAAGTTAACTTTATTCACTCATGTTGTCCCAACACAAATAGATTGTGTGGAGCCCAACATAGAGTTTAGTTGCTGTAGAGGGCTTTTTAATCTTTGTGTTAATTTAAAAACTTTATAATTAGGTCAAGAAATTCCATTATTGGGGCAACATGGTGGCTCAGTAGTTAGTACTATCACATTACAGCAAGAAGGTCGCTGGCTTGAGTCGCGGCTCGGTCAGTTGGCATTTCTGTGTGGAGTTTGCTTGTTCTCCCCATGTTGGCATGGGTTTCCTCCGGGTGCACTGGTTTCCCCCACAGTACAAAGACATACGCTATACAGACCACCTTGTTGTTCATGATTCCGCGATCAGCTTTGACGGCCGACCAGCTCTAAGAAGTGTCCTGGTGGTTCCAAACATCTTCCACTTATGGCTGATTGAGGCCACTGTGCTCATTTGAACTTTCAGAGCAGCAGAGATTTTTCTGTAACCTTCCCCAGCCTTGTGCCTCAAAACAATCCTGTTTTGTCAATCTACAGTCAATTCCCTTGTCTTCATGCTTGTTTTTTACATTGCCATGCACTATCAACCCTGGGGCCTTATAAAGACAGGTGTTTGCCTTTTCAAACCATGTCCAATCAACTGAATTTACCAAAGGCCAACTCCAATTAATCTGCTGAAACGTCTCAAGAATGATCAGAGAAAATAGAATGTTCCTGAGCTTAATTTAGTGCTTCACGGCAAAGGCTGTGAATACTTCTGTACATGGGATTTTTCAGCTTTTTTATTTTTAATAATTTTACAACAATTTTACAAAATCTTTTTTCACATTGTCATTATGGGGTATTGTGTGTAGAATTTTGAGGTAATAAATGAATTTAATAATTTTTTTCTAATGCACTGTATACATATGTGTATGTGTTCGTGTGTGCGTTCGTGTGCGTTTGCGTGTGTGTGTATATGTGTGTGTGTGTGTGTGTGTGTGTGTGTGTGTGTGTGTGTGTGTGTGTGTTTGTGGGTGTTTGTGTGTGTTTGTGTTTTTGTGTGTGTTTGTGTGTGTGTGTGTGTGTGTTTGTGTTTATTTTAACTAAAATGTCCCATATATTTATATCCAATATTGGTTGAGGTGTAACTTGAAACATAGGTTTTAAAGTTCGGCCTATGAATTGTTTACTTTTTTCTTTTTCTTTTTTTCGTAAATATTATTATGATGATGATAATAATAATTATTACTGTTATTAATATTATTATTAGTAATAATTAATATTATTACTGAAAGTAGTACACTCTAAAGTCAAATATATTATATTTATCATATTTTCTCAAGTAAAGTGTTTAATTTCATGCAAAGTCGTTCGATTTCCTTTATCTTTATGCTGTTTAATATTCACAATGACTACTCCATATTGCTATAAATTCAAATGTACAGAATAAGCTGAAATTCACCAAATTCCATCACGTTCCACGGCTGATTCCATGTGTATAATAGTAGTTTTGTTTTAAATCCTGGATGACTGATTTCCATAGGCTTCTACAGTGCAGAATCTACATGTTAACATATGAATAGGTGTTACTCTAAAAGGTTACTCAACTCTCTTTTCCACCACTCCTTGTGAACTTTGGAGCAAGTTCTCTCTCAATGCACAACAGCGCATGCACATTACACACACACACACATGCGACCAACGCTTTAGAGCCAATATCAGACCCCCCCACACACACACACACACACACTCCAGATGATCGTTTCCTCTCAGTTTAACACTAAACCCGACTGAAGCCAACGGCCGGATAATGTGTTATGGATCAGGTCATTCAGAACTGCAGCAGCTGCTTTAATAACTCTGTAGGTAAGGTAATTTCTGGAAAAAGAGTAAATATTTACATTCAACCTTTCAGTGCGTGCGAACTAAAGCAACATTGAACGCTGCTTGGATGTGCTTAAGTGTGTTTTTAATGGAGATGAGAATAGGAAATTGTTGAGTGTTTGTCATCTGAAAGCTCTTGTCTTTGTTTTTTCTTTCAGGGCCGCTGAAGAATGGCTGTAGTTTTGAAGATGATCTGTCACTGGGAGCTGAGGGTAAGTACCCTACACTTTCTTCCTCAATCCAGTGTGATTTTTGCTTTGAGGAATGTGCAAAAGGCATGTCGGGAATCCAACAGATCTTCCTGACAGACGTGAATGACGGCTTGTGTATTGAGGAAATTCATTAGGTCTGTTGTTGGTCCCTTTTTGACTTCTGGTTTTTGGAAAGGACAAACAGTGATATGCACACGCATGCATGTGATACTCGGGGTAAAAGACAGGTCTTGGCACATCTGATAAGTTATCTCTGGTTTCATGGTGTGCAGTATATGGCAGATGTGTTTGCGGGGGAGGAATGCTTCAATAATAAAAGTGAAGGTTTGCAGAAGTCTGACATTTGATGTTTGGTTAGGGAGTGTGCTATAATGTGTTAGGCTTGAACATTTTGTTTGTTACATAATCGATTTTCTCTTCAGTGTTTGGACTTTCAGTGGAAATTAAACCACACTAAACTGGACTCTGAAAACTGGACTGACACCGTTTACTTTCAATTTACTAGAACTTCTATGTTAAGCTGCTTTGACACAATCTACATTGTAAAAGCACTGTAGAAATTAAGATTAATTGAATTTAATTTACTTTCACATTTTTAGTGGTAAATATTTCTGTACCTGTTAAATCAATTATTTATTTACTTAAATTTTATATTGTTCCCTCATTATATCAGGTATCGTATTAAACGTGCATGTGTGTATATTAGTGCTTGACAAAGATTATTTGCATCCAAAATAAAAGTTTGTTTTGACATAAGATTTTTGTGTGTATTATATATTTCTTATGTATATGTAATACACACACATATGTAAATACAAACAAATATAGGCATGGGTCGATGTAAGATTCTGATGATATGATAACCTTTGGATAAAAATATAACTGTTTTATGATATTGTGAGTACTGCTTTATAATATGTTCTTTTTAAATGTCTGGGCAAAAAACAAAACCCTTTTCCCCGCTTTGAAAAAATATCTATTTTATTTTGAGAAACATTTATAAAATCCTGGATCAGTAAACATGTAAATAATTCAAATTAATTATTTGTCTTTATTTATTTCAAAAACATAGTTTTTTTTTACAATTTAAAATGGGATCTTTGGATATCATTTTGCTGAAGACACTGTTGTCCAATAAATAAATAAATAAATAACAGTGCATATATTAGGTCAAAACAAACATAAAATCTCAAATAATCTTTGCCCAGCAATAATATGCATTTATTTATCTATTTAGAACTAAATAAATAAATATTTAACTAAATAAATAAATTAAATATATAAATACATCATTTAAAATGCATTTTGATTTCATTTTTTAACAAATCATGTTAAAGGCAGTTCTTTGTCTGTGTTGATGTTTCAGTAAACATTTTTGAAAATAAAATGATTATATTAAAATATGTATTTTTTAAATATATGGGTCAAAGACATTTAGGTTTTTGCATCAAATAAAATGTAGAAAATATAAAAATTCTATGAATTTAAATCAGAAAAAAATGGGAGAATTAATATTAATATGTGTCATAGATATTTTAATATATAGAAAATTATCTTTATCTGACCTGTACTTGTGAAAATAAAATAAATAAAAACAATAAGTGAGCATACTCTATTTTATTGTAGGCTGATTTAATGATTTATATATCCTTTTTTTTGTCGTTGACCTGCATCTTATATGCATTTCTTTATTTAGTATCAAAGATGCATTTGTTTTATCTTATTGAATTAAAATAAAACGATTTAATTTGTTAATTTAAATAGTCATTCTCTCTTATAAACGGCTATACGTGGATTTTCTGGAGGGAAAAATGTTGACATCTAGATAAAAGTATATTAATAGATATTCCACTGTGGAAAACTTTTTTCTTCTTCGAATGATTGTTTGCATTACATGATACGAATCGTTCATATCTATATTTAACTAGCTATTTTTGGACTCTGCGTTCTAAGAAATACTGGGATATTTGAACCCAAATTTGGGTCATCAATGGACAAACCAATTGATTGGGATAAAGTTGAGGTTCAAACATTTTTAAACATACATCCCAAAAGTTGTGTTGTTCCATATAAGGAGTTCAGATGTAAAAAAACTTAAGGCTATTTGAGAATTTTCCTCATGTGTAGGATTGGTAATTTCACTTTTATGGTTTCAAGAAAAGGTTATTTTCATTGCCTTTAATGTGAAATAACTAATCATAAACATAATAGGCTGAGAAAAATATTTATTTTAGGAAAAAAAAAAATTAGATTGCACTTACAGTAGGGGAAACAAGTATTCAACATGTCAATAAACGCTCTCCCATAGCATATTTATAAAGGTGCTGTTGACTAGACATTTTCATCGGATTTTGGCATCTACCAAAGAAATCCATATATGCAAAGAAAACATATTTTGAGAAAACATACTAATTAAATTATGTGTAATAAAAACTAAATGACAAAGGGAAAAAAAGTATTGAACTTATGAAGAAAGGAAGGCAGTGAAAGGCAGTGAAAGCCCATAGCAGCTGAATTCTCCCAGTAGTTCTTCAGCAACTCTCTGCCCTTCATCGTTGTAAATTAATATTAGCTGCTTGAGGCCAACATCTACATTAGAAGTATGATGAAGATTAAACCAGGGTGGACATTTCAGCGAGATAATGATCCAAAACACAGCCAAGCAAACTCTCAAGTGCTTTCAGAGAAAGAAAATTAAGCTGTAGAATGGTCCAGCCAATCACCTGACTTGAATCCAATACAAAATACAACATAAAGATCAGATTTGATAGATGAAACCCACAGAGCCATCAAGAGTTTTACGCTCTGTTGAAGTCTGTGATAAAATCACACCTGAGCAATGCATTTGACTTCATTCTTCATATAACAGGCATCTTTAAGCTGCCATCACCAAACAAGCCTTTTATATAAGGTATTGAATACAGTTCAGTACTTTCTTCTTGTGTCAATTAATTTATCAGATTTTTTCGTTTTGTTTATTTTTTATGTTTGTACTGTTTGGGGTTTTACCAAACTCTCCTTCAATTCCATGCCATCAGCTCTTTCAGAAATATTATTCTCAGAAAAAAAAAACATTCAATGTTTATTTCGCCCAGTGTATTTTCCCAAATTTGAGTTGTAATTACCCAGCATTTTTTAAGTGTGCTTGACAAAGTAAAAAACATTTATATTTGAATGTAAAAGCAGTCCACATCGTAAGCACTTGCATTGATTTCTTCCATTTTTAGACCTCTGCTCTTATTTTCCTGTTAAATTGAGTGGGTGTATTTTTGAACTTATAGAATGTCTGGTTTAAACACCACAACAAGCCTTCTCTGAAGTAAGCCAGATCTCACTTTTCAGTGTGTTTGTAAAGAAACAAGTCCAGGCTAGTTTTCTGACTCAGCTCTCCTATATCTGATAACTAGCAAAAACCAGTTTATTAAAAGAACCTGCTGTCCCTGTTTATGTGCAAACCAATAACCCAGCGAACTGTGTTTACAAGACTTTATTACTAACCAGGTTGTCTTCCCAGTATTCATGTCAGAATGTAATAAATTGTATCTCTCTGAGGATTTATGTCAGTTGTCATGTTAAATAATAATTAAAAACCAAAGATTACTGCAACATCTCAGCTTGAAACGTACAGCTATTATCAGGAATTCTTCACACTGTAAAAAGAAATTGCTGGATTCTACACAATTCATTCAGGTTGTCCCAACATAAATTGATTAAGTTAACTTAAGTTTAAGTGGATTGAACATAAAACAATTAAGTTGTCCCCCAAAAAAATCCCAATAATTGTGTTGTTTAAGCTCATGTTGCATGAGTAGTTTCCATGTTATGCAGAATTTAGGGGCGTCATGGTGGCACAGTGTGAAGCACGATCACCTCACAGCAAGAAGGTCGCTGGTTCAAGCCCCGGCTGGGTCAGTTGGCGTTTTTGTGTGAAATTTGTGTGTTCTCTCCATGTTCACATGGGTTTCCTCCAGGTGCTACGGTTTCCCCCACAGTCCAAAGATATGTGGTATGGGTGAATTGGGTAAGCTAAATTGTCTGTAGTGTATGTGTGTGAATGAAATAGTGTATGGGTATTTCCCAATGTTGGGTTGCGGCTGGAAGGGCATCCACTGTGTGTAAAACATGTACTGGATAAGTTGGCGGTTTGTTCCACTGTGGCGACCCCTGATTAATAAAGGGACTAAGCTGAGAAGTGAATGAATGAATGAATATACAGCATTTTGATTGTACCACTAAAGCGGAAGTTCGTCAAAAAGTGAAAATTAATTTACTTTTTAACTTACCCTTATGTGGTTTCAGACCTTTATGAGATTCTGTTGAACACAAAAGAAGATATTTTGAAGAATGTTGATACCCATTGACTTAATTGCCAATTAGTTTCCAACATTTTTCAAAATATCTTCTTTTGTGTTCAACAGAAGAAGCTCATAGGCATTTTAAACTAGTGAAGTTTGAGTAAATGATGACAAAAATTTAGCTTTTGGGTGAACTATCTCTTTAAACTACGGCAAGGCATTAACATGATATAATGCTGTGTTTTCAACCACGTTCCTAGAGGACCACCAAAACTGCATGTTTTGGATGTCTCCTCTGTTACAGATCTTTCAGTCTCTGCTAATGAGCTGATGATCTGAATCAGGTGTGTTTGCTTAAGAAGACATGTGGTGTGTCCTGAATCACATAATTATGCACTATTCTACGCCATTTTGTAGTTTAATTAGTGTAAATAGTGCATTCACACTAAAAACTCTAAAAATAGAAATACAATAAACGCAATTTTATTAGATTATACTATATTGACGTGAATATCCTAAGCTTAATCCCTTCCAGCTAATAAAATACAATTAATGTGTAATTAAATAAATAATATAAATACTTCATAATAACTTTCGATCGCAGCTACAACGATGGTGCCAACTACCCGTCATATAACAAATAATATGATTATTATTAAGCTGTTTATAAGACAAAATATATGTTCTATGACATATTTGAGAATT